CCCCAAAACCCCAAAACCCCTCTTTTTAATGTTTATATTCAATATTAATAAAGACTTAATAATTATATAATTAATTTATTATTAGATGGAAAGTAAGATTGATCAATACTGCTAAAAATGGTAATTTCTGATATAAAGTTCCTGTTTAATTGTTTATGTAGCTACTCTAAATTACCTAAAGATAATGAATTTATTTAAAATCATTTTAGAGTTTGCTAAGGGTTTCTTATCTAAAGAGGTACTCTAAATTCAGACCAGAGCCACCAAGAATATTAACAAAATAGGTTTTACGATAGAAGCATAGATAACCAAAATTAAAGCAACAAATATTATTCTCCAGCCCAACATTAATAGTATTCTTCTCAGAATTAACCCAATAAAATTGATGAATCATTTAGTAAGAGCTATATGGAAAGTAATTTCTTAAAGGATGACGTATATATCTGTTCAACCTGCAATAATCCTTAGAAGAATGAAATTAAAGAGTATCATGAAAAGAATTGTCATATTCGTTAAATGTACCTCTAGTAATATAGAGAGAAGTAAATTCAATTAGATTAAGAATAATAGAGATCAATGCTAAAATAAATGGAAGATAATATAAAACATATTTAATTAAACAGTTCCTCTTTAAGAAATCGAAACAATTAAAACAATAAGAATGAAAGTAATTAAGAATTTCAGAATCATAAAGTAAAGATTGAAAAATATTTGCCATAACATTAAGAAGATCCCAAAAATCTTTATCTACATTAATAGAATTGAGTTTAGAACTAAAGATCTAGCTAATATTTAGATCAGTAAAAATAAATAGCTCAAGAAGTAGAATAGAAAATAAATAAAACTCCGCAAAAAAATGATGGCTTGCCTAATGAATAAAATTTTTAGCCTTTGAGTTAGATTCTATAATAAGAAAATCATTTAAGAATTTATGACAATGGCTAAGACGAGCCTATGTTTTAGGACGATATTGAAGAAGTAATGGAGGTAGATTTTATTGAAAATAAACATTAATAATATGAAGAAAAGAAATCCTATGAATTAAATAATTAAAGGAACTATATTGATTTGGTTGATCCTAATAATTCTGCATAATCATAGCTAGATTAACTTATTCCCAAATAATAATCAGTAAATTCGTCAGAAATAATTCAAAATCTACAAAACTATGAACTCTATCTTGATGAGAATATGAAGGAATTTTAAGAAGATAATAGAGAAATTCCCATATCAAGTGAGATCAATATTTAGCTTAAAAATCTATAAGAGAGATTTTATCCTAATTAAAATTAGTAAGAACCATAAAAATAAAATAAACCAGATGAAAACCTTGATAATATTATACATTGCCAGGAATGTGATCAGGAATTTTCCAGCTTGCTTCTATTTAGTGACCATATGATTGCTCATGATTAAGATAAGGAAGAAGAAGAATAGTTTAAATTAATATTAAAGCATCGAGAGCAAAGGTAAAAAGAAAGAGAAGAATATTAAGCTAGGAGATAGGCATTAAAAGATGCTTAATAAAACTAGCCTTAAAGTAAGAATATTATACTTTATGAAATATATAGGTTGGAATAATGCACATCCTGACTTTTTTGGAAGCGACTTTGTTGAAGAATTACCATAAAACAGTATATCTATTAATGCACCTTTGCTAAATTAATAGCCTCAAGGAAGTTTAATTAATCAAGGAAATTAAAACTAAGTCAGAAATGCAGAGAATTTGTATCAACCACGCCAAATGGAGAATTAAAATATATGGCCATAGCAATTCGGGGACATACTCTAATTATTACATCGAAGAAATCTTCATTAACATAATCATTACCATAATCATCAGCATTAAAATCATTCATATCATAATCGAATTGATTAGCATGCAGATATTTTCCATCATATTTAGCACCATTAACATAGAAACAGATCTTTATAAGGAGCAGCCTAAATTAACATAGATAGTATGACAGATGATGAGATTTATCGATATTTTGTAAAGATTAGAAATATTAACTTATTTTATATTTTAGACAGATCTCGATTTGAAGAATAATAAAAAGCCAGTTAAGGAAGAGATTATTCACTAGCTACCAGATTAAAAGTACAAAAAGAATCAAGAAAAAATCTAATTTGATGATAAAGAATAATAATGTTCAATCTGTATGACAGATTTTGAGGATGGAGATGACATGAAAATTCTAATGTGCTTTCATAAATTCCATAAGGAATGTATACTTGATTGGTTTAAAGAACAAAATTTCTGCCCTATATGTAGAATCAATGTTAATGAACAAAAATGATCAAAAATATTCGCTAGTCAATTAGTGAATTCTATACGTCTAGGTATGATCTGAACAAATTAGGAATGAGCAAATAGGTGGTAAAACAACGAAACTTATTTATATTTATTTCATTAAATTTTGCTTAAAAACTTCTAATTACTTAACGAGGGGTTTTGGGGTTTTGGGGTTTTGGGG